AGAGAGAGAGAGAGAGGGTGGCTAGAGGGAGAGGGTGAACGGGAACGAGAGCGAGAGCGAGAGCGAGAGAAGAAACGGGGGAGAGAATCAGGCCTGGCATACACGAGGGGAGGATACAGAAATGGAGTAGCTGGAAAAGGGGATCGATCGCGAAAAGGCCGGCCGATAGCTATACGGCAATGGAGGACACGGGATTCGGGTAAGTGCCGTGTCGCACTTCCGGTTTTTTCGAGAGTCGCACGTTATGTACGTGCGTGTGCCCGTTCGAGGAGAAGCGCGAGCGCGAGCGCGAGCGCTCTCTTGCCGAGGCCGTGGAGAGGAAAGTAGGGCGTCGGGGGTGGTTGGCGGCGCGGCGTGCCGGGAGGGAGGATGGCCGCCCGCGGACCTAAGCGGGCTGGTCCCGCTTTCTCTCCGCCGTCTCTCGACCTCCGGAAACGCGAGCGGAGAGCGAACTTGGTCGTCGGAGGCGGAGGCGAGAACGCGACGGTGATGGCTCGAGAACTCGAGATCTCGACACGGCGCGGCCACGCGCGTCGACGAACGCAGCGAGGAATCGGCGGAGGGGGTGTAGGAACGGGCGGTGAAGGGGAGTCTGCTCTGGTGCTGCTCTGGTGTATAACGCGATGATCGCCGGTAGTGACGATAAGACGGCATCTACGCGTGCCACGATCGGTTTTCCTCGGCGATAACGTAACGTTTGTGTGAAGAAACCAAAGTGAATTTCGATTCGCTATTATCGCCGTCATCGTCGTCGTCCTCGTCGCCGCCGCCGCCGCCGCCGCCGCCGCCGCCGTCACCGCCGACCGTCGTCACTGTCGTTGCCACGCGATAAACTTAATATTTGTACGGCTCTCGTGCTCTTTTCTCGTGCTTTTGTATCACCGTCGCGAACAAAACGCAGAGGTCATTTTCGCGCTTGTCCGCGAAAATGACCTGACCTTACCAAAATTAGACTCAGAAGTGATTTCGATCGTTTCCTCCAAGCGGAAGGCTCGCCACCCGCGTGGATGATGACAGTCGAATCTTGGAGTGAAGACTCGCAAATTGCAATTTTTCGCAAAAAAATTATTTTGCGCGGAATAGGGCAAGTGTCTCGCGAAATTTGTGCGTATTGTTCAAAATCCTTCGATATTGTATAATTCTCTTTCATCTTCTTTCAACTTTTTCGCCTCTTTTTCACAAAGGCGCTGGAACGACGAAAACGGATGAGGAAATGGTATCGTTTCGTCGATCTTTCTCTTTAAAAAAAATTACACAATTTACAATTGAATACGAAAATTATGTGTGAAGACAGCATGAAGGCATTCGGAGAGTAGACTATTATTCAGCGTGCTGAAACGTTATGTATGGTAAAGTTGGCGGAATAAACGCAAGTCAATGGGAAAACAATATTCCAGCGGGATCGTGCAATAATTCTATAGCCGCTATGTATAATCGTTCACGTGTTTTTTTTTTCCTTTAATAAAAGAGATATCGCCAAACGTCTTGTGTAATCGATCATCAGCGCGAGGAATGTAATGTATTTACTAATGAATTAAAACTGACATAATCGCACTGGGCACTGCGCCTAGTTTTCGCCTATGAGAGATGAACTTTACGGCGATCGTTGCATTTTTCCATCGCTGATGCAAGAGAGATTATCTCTGGCTGTCTATATAAAAGATTTGAAAAATAAAATCGTCGAGATTAATTCGTAATGGTTTTTTTTTTTTTTTTTTTTTTCCCCGTTACGCTCAAGTATACTGATGAAGAAGAGAGATTTTGGAACTTGACCGTATTATCCCTACTCATCGTTACCATCATTGATGAGCTTCATTTTTTGTCGAAGTGTAACGCAACGAATTACATTGACCATCGAGAACGGCGGAACCATCTTTGTTTTACGAATTACACTATCAGGATCACGATAGCCCTTTAGAAGTTTCACTATATATTTCATGGACATTTCATTTTTGAAATAAAGATCGTGAAGATCAACGAGAGAGCTCGATAAAATATCCATAACGCTTTTATAATAATCATAATATGCTCATAATATATCTTCAACAGTGATAAATATTTAGGATACGTAGCCTGCAGCTTTGTGATCTGTATGCCAAGATACAGCGGGTGCATCTTCCTCGGGAGTGTTCTAGGGAAAATCCTGATGCGTAGACTCGCATTTGCGCCTTTGAAGGCGATGCGCTATAAATAGAAGAGCCTTGTTAGCGGCTGCACAACGTACGACCTGTACCTCTACCAGATGCATCAGGTACAACAGCTACGTCAGTCACGTTATAAGATACCATTCAATCCGCAAACGTATACGAGCTCTTTTGGGATCCGTAGCGGATTCGCCCATTCAAATACCGCTGTAAATTTACGCCTGATTTTCACGCCGTTTAACGAAAAGTCCGACCTCCTAATATCACGAGGTCATAACGGAACGGAATTATTTGCTTATCATTACGTAACACATACTTCTTCTCTTTACGCGCGACGCTCCCTTACGGAAGGGACTACCCCCTACAAGATCGTTAAAGAGAAATCCCGTTAACAATTAACAACGTGTCTGCTTATATTCGCTAGGCCAATTTTAATTTTCCTTTTGATCTTCTCAAAGTCCTGACGAGAGGACGAGAGGTTTTTTTGACGACAATGACGTGTACAGTCTCCTAAACGGGATTTATCAATATAATCGTCGGACTTTTTCGTCGGTGGCTCGGATGTCACTCTCGATGACGTTTCCTCGATAAATGATTCCTCATTCGGACCGACAAAGATTTCGAACAATGATAATTACTGCCTAACTGTATGCATATTAATACGGCGACGCGTGGCTTTCGTCGTCCATCCGACCAGCGCAATTTCGCACTTGGTTTGAGGCTTAGGGGTAGCCGGCCAGCTAGCCAGCCAGCCAGTCGCACATGCACATGCACGTGCACGTGTACGCACGCACACACGTCTACGACCGATCCGGCAAGCATGTCGTAACGATCGATCTTTCCGACGACGACGACGACGAGCTGTGTTTGTCGAGAGTTTTTCGGCCGGCTGATCCGTCCCGATCGATGCAAAGAGATTACTTTTACGCTTTGCGGAAACTCGTTCACTCAATCACATTTTCACGCTGGTGTTTACGAAAGTGATTCGAGCCACGAATATGTAGCTGTTGAAAATATTGTAATTTCCATTAATAGAGAGACGATAGAGGGGGCTACTGATGTTGACATTTATCAGCTCTCGCGTAACTAATGAATCATCATCTCTTTGTCTATGAATTCAATTCGAATTCTTTGTTTTTCTGTGTAGCAAAAACATGAGCGGGGCTCTCTTTTGTTCATTTCCTTCATTTTCGTTATTATACATTATTATCGCTTTGATACTGTACTGTAATGATTTGTAATTTTCCATGACGGACTTACTATTCTCGACTACCTGTAAAAGATATTATGCAAATTACAAGTCGCGCAAAATAACGGAAATATTCTCGTTATCCTCGTGCTATTCTTTGTGACTAAAAATGCATAAACTTTAAAGTAAATAAACGCGACTTGTTTATTTCTTGCCAATATATATATAAAGCAATCGTAATTAAAAAATCTTATAAAAAAAATTTTTTTTCGTTTGATCAATAAAGTAAATAATGGATACCATTTTTTAATTTAATTTTCAATAATACGTTGGAAGTATAAAATACATAATGTAGTAGGTATTTCTTAACCGCGTAAAGCAGAAAAAATAAATGTTACAGCCATGTGTCAAAAAAAATTGCAATTTATAAGTAAAAATAGTTGCAAAAATAGTTGCAACGAATGCCTTTGTTATTTAATATAAACTCTATTATAAACAATTTCTCGAGCTTTATCAAGCGAGAAATCACGATGAGAGGCGTCACACGATATACACCTGTTGGTGTGTTATTACATAATAGTTGAGAACTGTCGTGTAACAACGGCAAGAATGAGAGCGTAATAACCGAGCCGGCGATTGTGACACGTGCTTTCTTCTACACGCCATCAAGAGCGGAGCAAGATCGTGCTTTCGTTAAAAGTTTCGCGTAAAGGCCACGTTAAAAGTATATTATATTAGTTTAATCTTTCTTTTTACAGCATCATCGTGGTCTGAGCATTCGAAAATGGCGTCAGGATTGCCGAATGTCCATCAAAAGAAGCTTGGACCAGCGCCGATAGCCTCCTTCGAAGACTTATCCGAGGAGGTGGAAAACGTGAGTCCCACCCTGTATTTCCTTTGAATTATTTGCCCCGAAATCGACCCTCT